AGCGCTATTCGAGGCTTAGTGTATCCCATCATGCATCATGTTCTGGAAATAAATCGTGAGACTTTTTGCCGATATCGCGCGAGAGGTAACGGAAACCTTTCCAGTGTAAGTATATTCATACAATAAATAGATATTACATATAATTGCTAGAAAAACAAAGCGTTGCACGTTTCATTGGTGTAAAGATGAGTAGTGGTATTTATTTTGTAAACATTTGCAAATTTTTATCACTTAATTAGAAACACCACAAATTAAATTCTGTCATGTTATAGGGACTACTGACTGAACAGACATTTAGAAGTTGATTTTAAAATGCAAAGTATTTAAAATTAAAATAACGCTATGTAAACACTTGCATTTTTACAACACTATAAGGGTGTTCCATCAGGTAATGAAAAGTTCAACACACATTTGCGGTCTTCATCCTTACTTGAACACTTGGGCCAAATACAGGAACTACGTCATATAAGTAGTCAAGCGGTCAAGTGCAAAGACCACAAGTGTGGGTATTTGGACAAGGCATTGGTATTGAGAAACGGCCACTACAGGAGGCGAGCGACGCGACGAGACAAAATACAATAGAACCTATTATAATCAGTGATGCTGTGGCGCAACACTACAAATCCCCAACAGTAAACTGATGCCTCGTTCTATAACATACTGACACAAAGTACAAATGATTTGTAAGGGTCGATTTGTCGCATCTAGTGTTGACTGCCTCAAACTGTTTTTTTTTTGTTGTTGTTGTTTTTGGCTAGTAGAAGTTATGAATGGCCGGCAACTTAAAAAATTTAGTATCCAAATTGGCTGGTGAGTGAAAAAAGGTAATTTCAAAGCCTGGTTATATAAGTCAAGAAGAAGGCCAAAGCATTAAACGTGTAAAAATGAATGATATGGTCATAGGCAAAACTGCTACTACTGTTGTCTTTATGTAAAAATCTTGCACGGCTGTTTTCAAAAAGGATGAAAACATCTGTTGTGATTTGTAGGGAATGGGTTGAAAAAAAAAAACTTCGCAATTGTCTCGCCACCTAGCCTACTGGTGTTGTGACCTGCAGAACGGAACCAGTGAGCAAATCATTTGTGGGCTTTAAATCTATTTGATAGATGTCCGCTAATCTAAAACAAACTACATGCATCAGTTCGTGTTTGGAACATCAGAAAAGTACTGTTCGAACAGAACTTTTATTCCAATCAACTCCGGATGTTCGGACCGAACGCGCCTTGATGCCCAGATATAGGCTACTTACTGTATTGGTACATTTTGACACACAGCCAGCATAACACATATTAGCCTCTCAAACGTTTTACTGTCGGATCCCGACTAAAATTCCACCAAAAGCACATTAATGTGCATCACGAGGTGTTCGTACTCACCCAAACCAGCTTATCAAAAGTCCTTGATAGCTGAAGTGTGCATTTGGCCTCTGAGGCAGAAGTAGGAAGTTCAAGCAACACTTGATACAAAGTATCACAACAACCTTTAGATGGCAACATGGGCAACTCAAAGACATCAAGCATGGCTGGATCTACGAGGCTGCTTACCTTTCCTGATTGATATCCGAGGTTCAGAATCAACATCAAACAGCTGAGATCTGGGATTCAGAATCAAGTTTTCCTATTCGTTACAACTTATTTCTCCATGTTGCGCTGAAGTCAACTAATGTAAGCTGATAGAAAGTCAGTTCAAGGCAGGTTGCTTATTCAGGATGATTGTTGCGTCTGCCAGACATGGATATACAGAAGATCCACTGGGGTTAAAAGGCAGATCGATAGATCAATCAATCGATTTTAATCGCCTGTCGCGAATGGTCACAGTAAATCATGTCGAGATCTACGCGATCGTTTGAATAGACAGCTTGATTTCCTTACTGGAAATTCCCTGTGACGTAACTTATGTTCAACATGTCTTGCTCTCAAAAACGTCCTCTTGCGCCCACGCGTGGACACCGGTGTGAGAACCCAATACTATATTTGAATATGAAAACAAAAAGTCTAAAATGGTTTACAGGTCTCTCAGGCTGCTTTGCTAGCTGGTTCTAAAGAGTCAGGGTAGGAGACTCTTTAAACCATCTAAGATCAGCAAACAAACAAACAAGTAAATTAATAAATAAATGGTATTTTTTTTTAGCAGCAATGACCAGTAAATATACAGTGGTGGACAGTAACTGATTATATGTGATCTGGATTGCGTAGGCTACTTAATCATATTCCTACTTGAAATTATATTATTTTACATTTTAAAAAGTGCATAGTCAGATTAGTTACTTTTTACTGATTACATGTTATTCACACAATGACAGATTGTTCAAATTGTTCATAATTTATAGATTTTCCCTAATTAATCTTTCTGTCTT